CGTTGGTAGGCATTGTTCAGTAATACGAGGTACGTTAAAAATCGTAGCAAATAATTATTTATTTTCAAAATGAATTAGAGTATAATAACTTATCCCAGAACAAGACTTTTTCTCACAAATTACGACACATTGATATTTGCGGCAAATCACAATCACTGTCTGCGGCCTCCTCTCAAATGGACCCTCATCATAGGTAAGAGCCGAACACTCAGCCCTACAAGATTGGTTCTCGAAAACCATTACACTAAGTTCAGCCGAATGTGAGCTTTATTACCTTTTATTTCACCTCTAAACCATTGGGTGTGCACTATACCTACATGAGCAGTGAAATCGAAAGACCAAAGTAGGCAAAGCTAAATGTTCGGTGTAGAAAGTTGTTTAAGAGTTTTTAAATTAACCGAGGTCCTTGTTCAGAGTTTAACAACAGGAAAATGTTCGGAAGTCAATTCGAGGGAGGGTTTAGTGGATGATGTCTCTGAAAAGAGACGATTTTATCGTAATCTAGTTGAATACATTCTTCCAAGATTGCGAGTTTTGAAACGTTCAGTCGCTGGACTCGCTGTAATCGAATCACAATGTTTCCAATCCGTTATTCAGATTTTTTTCTAAGTTAAATAGAAGCAATTTGCTTGGAGTAGTAATTGATGGAAAACTCTTCTATGTATTTTTGATTGGTCTATGTATAAATATAACCAATCGACTACTAAGGAACTATTTGCAAGATTGTCTATAATTTTTCTTTAGATCTTTAGATCTATGTGAAATCGGTTTCTATAATAATTATAATAAAAGCCTTTATTCACTGACCATATTACACATTTTAACTTAAATACTACTTACAAAACATGTTTCTCAAATTTTTGATAAAAGATTTTCTCATCTGTTCTAAATCTTTTTCTAACTGATAACAAATACCATTTTATCTGATGATCTTCGAACGAGTACACTTTTGAATACGTTACGGTCCATCCGTTTAGGAGATATGATACTATAGACAAGTACTCAGAGACACGTTTAACGTATAATACCCCTCGTTTTGCGGCGGGGCCTAGAAATATCAATTCAAGAAACAGCCGAACAATGTAAATGTTAATATTAAACCATTAGATCGTCTTCCATTTTAAATTATTCGTGATTGTTTAAGATTGTGCAAACGATTGTTTGAAATTATTAATGACGATTTGAGAAATTCATTTCAGAACGATTGTACTATATTTTGAGTGGATATCAATGAATTAATTATAATAGGAGAGGGGGCGTTGGTTAGCAACCGATATTTGATAACGGGGGCTTTGATTTGAGGGGACATTTAAAATCAATAGGGACTTAATTAACATTCATTGAAATATTGTTAATGTATTCTATATATTAAGTGGATAGAACATAATAATGTCACCAAATTAACGTTTTAACAAGCTTAGAAAAGTTGGTTCTATTTTTGGTTATATAGGTTCTAGAACACAAATAAACTAAATATTTTTGTCCGGGATACAGTCTCACATTATCCGCGTGGTGACGGATTAAGAATACAGAGTGTCGCCACTCCTATTCATCCCGTGGGTGTCGTAAGAGCCGGTGTCGTAACAACAGCACTGCAGAGAGAAGGAAAACTTGACACAAACCCTATACCAACCCGTCTAGCCAGCGTGGTATAGTAGGCCAAAACCTCCTTTCTAAGGAGAGGCTTATGTCCAGCAGTGGACTACTAAAGGCTGTTGATGTGATGTGATGACAGTCTCACATAGAAACACCTAAATCAAAACTAATTAATAGTCATTATGCATACAATTCAACGAGAAGTGAACTGGTGACCTGTGACGTTGTTGCACCTCTTTCCGCTACCGACATCGCTACATACATAATCATAATTTAGGTCAGTTACGATTACTTTGAGTAAGTAAAAAATAAATCCTAAAGTTGGCTGATGATAATGACCTAAAGGTACAGCAATGGATGACGAGTTTTGGGAATAACTTTTTAATTTTGTTTTGGGTTAAGCTCGCCTTTGTACATTACATTTCCTTGTTACTAATATTTATGTATGTGTTCAGTGTGTACAATAAAGAATAAATAGAAATAGAATAAATAGTAATTAATTTTTTTTACCATAGTGTGTATTTTTAAGAGACTCACAAATATTGGCAATTTGTCTGTATGTTTTTTTTTAATTTATTTATTTTGATACCTCAAAACTCCGTTATTTACGAACTAATTTTATATATTTTTTTTGTTTTTAAGGATATATACTTCCTAGTTGGTTTCATTTAAATAGGAATAAAAAATACCGTCCTTAAATATTAAAATTTAAAGAATACAGTTTATTTTTATAATTCGTAATGATTGATGTTACGTTTTTAAAAGGTAGCTAATTATTAATTTTAGTTATTAAGTTAATTATGACATCAAACACCGAAAATCCTTCTATCGGGGAAGTCAACGTCTGTCAGCTTCGCTGTTAAGGTTTAAATTACGTTGTATATTCTCCAGAGTCTCAAGTAATCTTTACCGTCTTTGAAGTATTATTTCTTACTTCAGTAGAAAGGGTCTCGACGTTACTTCAAGTGTTTAATGACTACAAGTGTGTGAATTTCCCTTAAATGAATAAAGAGAGCACAGATTTTCGGAAGGGGAAGTCAAATTCTTTTCAGTGTTTGATTTCGAAGTCCTTGAAATAATTTACTTATGTAATGTGTATGTTTATGTAGTGTTTTTAAAGGTTTATTAGTATCCTTTATTCTTGATCCTGTACATTATTTATAAAATTTATTTTACCAGATGACTGCATTGTTCAAAGGTTGACTGACTGTTAATTAACTGACCTATTGTTCAATGGTTAGCGACCCTGACTTCTAAGCCAGATGTCGTGGGTTTTATACCCAATAAGAAAAAATAGTTTCGTGACAGTCTCGATTATACTCGTATATCTATGTCTGGGTGTAATTTATCTATCATATAATTATGTAATAGATGTATTATCTATAATATATGTAATAATGTATTTAGAAATATTTAAGTAAGTTTAATAGCAGTCTGGTTACCATAGTACAGGCTCAGCCTAGTTTGGGATCAGATGGCCGTGTGTGAGATGTGTAAGGTTATTATTTTTATAATTAAAGGTTAACTGGCTGAGAATGCATAGGTATATTATATTATATATATGTTCGTTTTATCTAATGGAGAATATGTAATCTTCATTCAAGTAGAAGTTATTTTCAAATACTTTGGTAAACTGCAGGTCTGTTCTTTGCGTCTTGAAAGTGATAATAAGTCGAACACTCAAGGAACACAATTGTCAGTTTGCTGCATATGCCAGGTGTATAGGAATACACCAAACTTTTATAAATTCTAACACGTGTTTATAAAAGATTAGTAGATAGTCGCAATTCGTATGCGATACGAATGCCGAATGGACGTGCGTTCATCGCTCTGCAAATGCCGTACTAGCTGCAAGTTTGCAAATAACGAGGGGAGGAAATAAATCTAAAAAAAAAAAAACCGACTTCAAAAAATACGAACAAAGAACACTAAAAACCTAGGAGCAATCGCAGTTGATTTTCTAATATTTTTTGAAGAGTTCCATTGTCTGTCTCTGAAACTCATCATCAGATCTGTGTGAAATTTAAATGGAACCAGAATACATACAAAAAAAAACATCCGAATTGATAAGCTCCTCCTTTTAGAAGTCGGTTAATGAAGGTGATGTAGTGATGCAATATGAATAATCCGTGTCCGTGTAGTGACGGATTAAGAATACGGAATGTCACTACCCCAATTCATCCCGTGGGCGTCGTAAGAGCTGACTAAGAGCGCAAAACAACGCAGGATACCAGCACTGCAAAAAGAAGGAAAACTTGACACAAACCCTATACCAGCCCGTCTGGCCAGCGTGGCATAGTAGGCCAAAACCTCCTTTCTAAGGAGAGGCCTATGTCCAGCAGTGGACTATTAAAGTCTGTTGATGTGAATATGAATAATCATGATCTTTGAACTATACACAGAACAAAGTACTAAATTAAGTTTTTCCCAAGGTGCTTGTTTAATACTTCGGCTCAATGAGCGGGCTCAACCGGAATGATGCAGAAAACCGGTGTCGAGCCATTTATTCCTTGGTTTTCACCAATTGACTAAGTCAGCTTAACCCCACTAATTCAGGGATGTGGACTGAAAGGGTGGCAAAAAATTTGTCTCTCTTGAGTTGTAGGTGTACATGGGCGGCGGTGATTACTTGCCATTTGTTGATCTGTCAGTGGTTTACCCCTATACCATAAAAGAGAAACAAATGTACCCTGTTATTCGAGTAAGCATTTATCAAATTAGAATGTTATTTCAAATTTTCTCTTTATATCTATTTCTGCCAATTTTCTATAACAATAATATTATATTCGAACTCTACAATAAAAGATTTTCATCTCGGTACGTTGCTCTCTCAAAAAGTGTTCAAAATGAGTAATTATTAAAACGGAGGGTCCCCATTTACGAATGTTAAAAGGCCTTTGAAACACTTTTTATGAATTTTGATTGCCTAATAAAATCGAGTCTTAATCAAATTTCCTCTTTCAGAACGAATGTTTGTTTCAGTGCTCTCTGATTCTTTGAATTGACAGATTGTAAGAGTGACTCTAGATCAGTGGTTCCCAATTAGTTTTTGCTGCGTACCACTTCAAAAAAGACCTCAAACCTGCGTACCCCTTATTGTCGCAATCACACTAATATTATAAATGCGAAAGTTTGTGAGTGTGTGTATGTTTGTTACTTCTTCACGCTCAAACGCCTGGACCAATTTTGATGAAATTTTGGTATAAAGGTAGCTGACACCCTGGATCAACACATAGGCTACTTAAACCGCGGGTAACACCGCGGGGCATAGCTAGTGATAAATAAAAAAAAAATAAGTCAGTTTAAATAACATTTATTATTTTCAAATTACGGTACAATAGTGAAAATCAAAATAATATGATGTATTGGCGAAGACGCTAATGTGACAAATGTGCAAGTTTTTCTTAGCACAGCTCTTGAAAATCTGGTTGTCCTTCAGTCAGCTTCAGTCTTAAATCGTCTTCAAGTTGAAGTCTGTGACGATGTTTAGTTTTTAAGTTCGTCATGGCCGAAAATCGGCTTTCGCAAAGGTAGGTTGTGCAAAATGGTAGTAAATATTTTATTGCTGATTCGCTGATATGATAAATATCTTTTAAATTAGCCCAAAAGTCACCCAGTGATTGCTCTGCAAAACAACTCTTGAGTCTGCTGTTGCATGAGATGTCTATTAATTCCTCTTGATCAGAGATGAGTAGGTGGTCGACGGAATGGTTCGCGAAAGGATTGTTTACCCAGTTCCATTGCGGCGATATTTCTGGGAAGTAACTACGTAAAGCCGCCGACAGATTTTGCAAGTGGCATTTTCTGTCCGATTTTAAATCTTCATTTACTGTCGAAGAAGTTGTATCCAAAAAAAGTTTAAGATTCGGCAACTGGTCATATTTACACTTGTCAATCAAAGATGTCCAGAGGGATAGTTTGTTTATAGTGGACTCAACTTTCTCCTGCATAGTGAATATGGTTGTATCACGGCCTTGTAGTCCCAAATTCAACTCATTTAATTTTGTGAAGATATCTGACAAGTAAGCCAATTTTTGCACCCACAAAGAGTCAGTCAGCATCTGTTTGTACTCATCGTGTCCCTGCTCGACCAAAAATAACTCAATTTCATGTCTTAACTCAAACATTCTCGAAACAACTCTTCCTCTGGACAGCCAACGCACTTCAGTATGTAACAACAGGGTCTCGTGTTCACTGCCAAGCTCTTTGCAAATAGCTGCAAAAATTCTAGAGTTTGTGGCACGGGCCTTGATTAAGTTAACAATTTTTTACAGCATTTTGAGAGTAATATCTAAGCTGGCTGGAATTTTTTTACAAGCCAGTGCCTCTCGATGAATTCCACAATGGGTCCATTTTGCTTCTGGGACTATATCTTGTATCCGCTTTACAAGTCCTGAAAAACGACCGGTCATTGCTCTGGCACCATCAGTACATATTCCCACACATTTTGACCAATCCAATTGGTTTTCTTTTACAAAACTGTCGACCATATGAAATATATCCTCCCCGGTGGTGCGAATCGAAAGGGTACTACAAAACAGGAATTCTTCATGAAACTTTTTGGAATGAACATAACGAACGTACGTTAAAAGTTGAGCCAAGTTTGTTATGTCTGTGGACTCATCAAGTTGTATGGCAAAGTATTCGCTTTCTAAAATCCGTTTGATTTGGTGGGTTTTCAGATTCTCTGACATGTTTGCAATACGACGAGAGACAGTGTTATTTGACATAGGAATAACATCAAGTTCTCGTGCCATTTTTTCTCCAAACATACATTTCACTATCTCTTTTGCTGCAGGCAATATAAGGTTCTCCCCAATGGTGTGAGGTTTCGCTTGCTTAGCTATTAAATAACTCACTCTAAAAGAGGCTTGCAGAGCGTTGTCATTCGTGTTTTGGGAGAGCGCCTCAATAGATTTTTGTCTTTGTTTGAGATCTTTCAATTTATGTTGAAAGAAGGATACAGACTGGTCTTTCAAATTAGCATGTTTGGTTTCTAAATGTCGACGTAGTAAAGACGGCTTTAGCGAATGATTTGACAGCGTTTCTACACAAACGACACACTGTGGCAACGGAGAATCAGGGTCTCCAGAGCTTGTAAAACCAAACTGAATATAACTATCATCATATTTCCTTTTTTTGAGAGACGATTCCTTGTTATCATAGTGCTCGGTGCTCCGTGCTTTTCGGATGATGATCGTAATAAAATAATATTTTGGAAATTGTTCTATTTTTTACTGATAGCCGCACGTACCCCTTGATGCAACTTCACGTACCCCTGGGGGTACGCGTACCACTAATTGGGAAACACTGCTCTAGATTGATGAAGCAACGATTCGTTGAACGACGCAATATCTAAACTAAAATATATTTTAGTCAGATTTGAACTTGTCATCAAATCTGAGCAAAATTTTTAAATTGACTTAATTCAGTTATAATTGTTTCATTTCTGTTAAAATTACTATTTTAAATATCAATAACTCACTATTTTTTTCATATTGAAAGTCCATATGTTACGTTGAGTAACATCTAAATGTTAAAAGCAGCTTAAATTTGAAGAATATTCACACTTAGCTTATTTTTGACTTAACTAACTTAAGTGGTCAACAGATTTCGTTCCAGTGACTCTTGTAACATAGAAACATGTAACATACATAACACAAAAAGAGCTGAAGAGCAATGAATGACAAAATCAAGTTTGAATATAATTTGATAAGGTTGAGGAGTTGATGAACGGATTGTACATACTCTGTAATCACCACAAAACTTACAAAAACAGATTATTTCTACATACGATTTGTAATTCAATAACTACACTAACTTGTACCTGCTTGGTGAGTGAGCTACTCGTAAATATTAATATTTAGAAGTTGGTCTATAAAAAAAAACATGTCGTTTGTAAACGCGCCGCTAAAAAATGTCTGATCAGACCCTAAACTAACTGAAATATCTCCTTTCGTAAAAGTATTCAACTCTGTATCATGTTTAATATTAAATTAATTCCCTTTGTTCTCTTTTAGGTACAAATAAATAGGAATTGTCATCCCAAATACATAATAAAAAGATCATGTTCTGGTGTTCAGATCGATGTAAGTGTAGCGTTTGTAAATTTAGGAATGATTTGTATTTAAAATTTTATTTTCTGTTATCCTTTCAGACCTTACCGTGTGGTGACGGATTAAGAATTCCCTATTCATCCCGTGGGTGTCGTAAGAGCCGACTAAGAGAGAAAACTACGCAGGACAACAGCGCTGCAAAGAGAAGGAAAAATTAAAACAAACCTTACACCAACCCGTCTGCCCAGCGTGGTATACTAGACCAAAACCTCCTTTCCAAGGAGAGGCCTATGTCCAGCAGTGGACTGTTCATGATTATTGATGACCCTTTCAGAGGTCAATAAAAGAATTTCATGAAATACTAAAGTTCGTATTTCACGAAATTCTTTTACATGAAAACTCTTTAATATAAATAAATAACTGATTCATGAACACATTTTGTATTTCTTTTTGTATTTAAAACAGTAACCTTTCCTTGGTAGTCGGGTAAAAAAGACATACTGGAAGTGTAGAAGCTTATATCAAGATATAAAGTATATTTTTACATTTTTAATTTTTATAAAACTTAATGCGTAAAAGATGCACATCTCTGGTGCGCAGGGTACGCGGCAGCGTCAACAGTATCCTGAACATGATCTCTGGTCGGCTGGTCTGTGGTTACATCAATCGTTGCTGCGCAATTGCGTACGGAATGGCGCAGCAATGATTATTGTGTGTATATATGTCTATCTTTCTTTGTTTTATGGTTTGTTTTCTTAATATACTGTACTAACACTAGTCTCTAAGAATATTGTTACTAACACATTGGACACCATGGTCTGCAATAAAAAGTTTATTATTATTATTAATAAACCAAAAATCCTCGCCACAAACTTTGCAAGTAATAGACTATTTGATATTTATTTAACAAAAAGAGGAGATAAATGAATTGGAGGTATGTAATGTTTTAATTTCTTAATCATTTTTAATGCTCACAAAGCTAAAACTCTTATAAAAGTATTAAGTCTTAAATACTTCACTCTGACGCACCTAATATGGTTCTCTTTGACTTCATTCCTTGATTGAATGGTAACCAACTGCCTACTCCCATGATACAAGTAGATTTTATCTGGTACAAATGTGTAATACATCATATTAACTTAATTTTACTTAGCAACGAATACTTAATGGAATTAATCAACGGTATTTGCGGAACGTCTGTACTTGCTTCTGTAACTAAGCTCTGAATATTCACGAATGCTTCGTTAGAACATCCTACGCTTCGCAAAACCGTTTATTTTATATACATCTCAGGTATTTTGTAAAAGATTTGTTAGAAGAACTTTGTGGTTAAATGGAAATGCTTTTAATGTTATTTACCAAAATATATGTAATGAGGAAATGTTTCCTTTGCATATTTTCTTTGAAACTCTTAACTATGTTATCTTGTAATGGATTCTCGAACATCTGACACACAACGCCATCTAGTTTCAAACTAAGCACAGCCGTACTATTAAAGCTGGATTCACCGATAGAATACTTTTATCATTTTTTTGTAAATACCTGCATACAACAAATATTTGGAGATTATACAAACATTTGGTCCGACCCGGGAATCGAACCCAAGACCTCAGCACAGCAGATGCATACTCTACCACTGCGCCACCGAGGCAGTCGTCTTTACCAGTTGAATTATGTAACATAATACGAGTATATTCGTCAGTATTTATGTTACACTGATTGGCTTATTAGTCTATTTGACTACTGACCCAGAAGTCGTAGGTTTGATTTCAAACCAATATAAAAATTAGAGAGTGTGATAATTAGTTCTGTGTCTAAATGTAAATTATAATTTTATATACGAATACTAGCAAGAAGGTTCAATAAAGTTGTTAAAGAATCTCTTTAGATTTTAACCATTTTTTTATCTCCAAGCCTTATTACTCCTAAATACATGTAACCTTCATAAATTCTTGTGTACTTAACTGTAGCTAAGACAGATGCTAAACTTAGTATAAAAACATACGGCAAATAATTTGAACGTTAGCGCCCATCGAACGTCTTGATTATTCTCAATAGGCAATCGGTTTCTTTCTAAGAAATTTTCAGTCAGTAGCATTTATAAACATTGTTTTTTTTTGCAAATAAACTTTAAATATAACATTTCAGTCAGATTACATTAATTAAATAAAAAAAAAATAAGTTTAGTTCAGGTCTTATATCATGATTACCTTATTTTGACGGTAGAAGACTTCTGGGATAATATAATCTAAACCTTTTGTACTTGTTTCATGGAAGAGGGGTAAACTATCTGACGCGTCACCTGATGAAAATTGACCACCAGGACAACTCAGGAATCACAAACGCGTTGCCGACCTTGTAGGAAGGAGTACGCTCTTATCTTGAAGGTTTGAAGGTCTTATCGGTCTGGCAATACTGCAGAAGATAACTTGTTCCACAGATTATTTGTGCGAGGCAAAAAGTGTCTCGAAAAGCGGACAGTGGTTGAGTGAAAATTATCCAAGTGATGAGGATGAAAGTTTTGCCGTGTGGAACGATTTTGGTAAGTTGCGGCCGGTCTTAGTCCGAAAAATTCCTCGGGGCATTCTCCATGATTGGTATATACGATAGAGAATGCAGAGTGAACATCTCTACATCTCTACGTAACGCCAATTGTGATGGTTCGTTGAGTGCGGTCCAGAGGGAGAAGTTGGTACGGGGGTGCCCTGCATAGAGATGAGAACAGTATTCCATATGCGGCTGAACTTGCGCCTCATAAAGTTGGAGGCGGTGAGCTGGAGTGAAGTGAAGTTGTTCACAATATACATAAATACACACGAAAAGATCTAAGACACCCTTCTTTGTTGGAATTTGTTAAAAAAAATGATAAGTTCATTACATCCGTTATAACTTTTTCGTTAATTTTGTAACAAAAGAAAGTATAAACGGAATTAGTAGTAGCCATAGTACAAGCTTTGCTTAGTTTGGGACTAGATGGCGTTGTGTGAATGTGGTAGAATATATTATTATATTATATTACTATTATAATTTAAGTACCTATTAAAAAACAAAGGCTTGCATTTTCTCTTAATAACTCTGTATTATTTATTACTTTTACATAAAAAAAATACCGTTTATGCTTATTTTTAAATGACATAAAAGTCAAAAGCGATGTAATCGCATTTTAACCGTGACCGGCCCCAATTTTGACCCGTATATACCCGAACTACAAGAGATTTAGGTCGGGAGCAGTGCTCTAAATCGCAAATATAATTAATTCATGCCTACCGGGAACCCCAGTACCCCGTAATGGAATGAGGCATTAACCTGGCTCGTGAATACCTGTTAGCTTTTAATTTATATTAAGTGACCCCTGAAATGCGTTTTAATTTCCAGATTGGATGTTCGAACGCTTAGGTAAACGTAACATCGAATTACTTCTGAATATGTAAAGGTACAATTAAGATATTTTATTCAAGTGTTTGATTCGATTCCTAGAGACCGATTCAATCTGTATTGAGATTATATATTTATACATTTATAGACATAAATTAAAATTACAGGGCCTGTTTATAATAATTTCAAAATAACAGCTTTTTAAAACTTAATACAAACCCTTTTTTTTACGCGTGGAAACCCCCTCGGGCCGTCACTCCACCGGGGTTTACTTAATACAATAAACTTAATACAAACCCTATACTAACTCGTCTGACAAACTTGGTATAGTAGGCCAAAACCTCCATTGTAAGGAGAGGCCTATGTCCAACAGTGGACTGTTAGGTTCTGTTGATGATGAAACAGCTTTTTACTAAAAGCATCTCAATCTTTAAATAATACATTAATATAATAATCAGCAAAAGATTTCCACGGGAATGTTATAACAGGAAATGTTTTATAATTTAAGAAAAAATAATTAGGATTCCGCACCAAAAATATAAATTTACTTGTTGTTCTGCACGGGACGACAATATTTACGCGGGAGCAGCCGCGGCAAGCATTTCTATACATCATTACCACAGATCAAAAGTATTATAAGCATATAGTGTTGGGTTTCATACTTTTTGAGATGGGTGATTTCTATTTGTACATTTCTCATATTGACATAGCTCTCTTTCTCTATCTCACCTTCCTATTTACTCATTTATTTAAAAAAAAAATCTCAACTTAATATGAGCGTTTGCCTATTTTAATTATACACATTTTAAATGTTAAAATATAACAAATAAATCCACAAAAGAAAAACAAAAAAAAATGGTCCGGTTAAAAATTTAATTCAACTAAAGCATATATGAAGCGTACCGCAGAGAAAAATACAATATCAAAAAGCGGTGACCGAAAAGCAGTATTGCCATCGTTTCAGCAAAATAAAAGGTTACGTAATTGGGCCCAATCACGATATTGTGCAATTTTCTACACACTGCATGTTCCTACGTACAACTGCACTGTTCATATTGCAATTTCGGTGTAGCCAACAATACATTTCATGTAAATCCGTTCGAAATTATTACTTCTGTTACACATATTTCCCCATTATAATTATGCAAATTTAATAAGGTAAAAAAATTTGCCCGCAGTGCATTTAATACTGAAGCCGCATTATTTTGTTGTGGTGTGTTTCACGTGTTGTGGTTGACCCGTTTCACTCATTTTTTTGACAGCTTAATCTCATATTTGCATAATTTGTTAAATCGTGTCAGAAAAATACTTTGTGATAATGTAAAACACATTTGTAAACGTTTAGAATTCAGTTTTGTAGTGATTTAAGGTTTCAATTAATTAGAATTGAAAATTTATGTTTAAAGAAACATATTTTTATATTTATATTTATTGTAGTACTATGTTGAAAATTTGTCATTGGAAACTACATATATTATGGCGGTGAGAGGCGCCACGTCCTCACGCGATATAAATATTTCTGTCACTTATAAATAGCACTTTTCAATTAGATATGAAAATTTTAAATTATTGATAGTAAACAAGATATGTAGAAAGTAATATATATTAAGAATTATTTCTTATAATAAATAAGTAGATGGTATAACACTATCGCATTGGGCTAAACCTGTTTTGATAGTTGCTTTTAATGGAAGTAAATATATAAATATAAATAATTACTTTGGAATCATAATCATATGATAAAATGATGGGTTTTAGTCACTATGATTTGATCTGGGATAAATCACTACTGAGATTTGGTCATAGGCAAAGATAAATGCCATTAAAAACTTGAGCAATGACAAAACCAAATTTTTAATCAATGACTTTTTTTATTTAATTTATAAGTCCTATGATTTATAACAAAGGATTCATTTTATTCCATCCCTAATAGGTACATATCTATATATCTATATATATATATTTATATGTATTTATCAGCATGCTCACTGTAAAAATTTTATAGCGTATTTTTCGTTGACCTAGAACTATGAAATTTGACAAATATATTTTTTTTAAAGACAACACCCGCATTAGGAATACATCCTGTGTCGCGGGGGACTGTACAAACATACATGAAACAGAGACAAAGAACACTCAGACTCAAAACAACAATTGGCGGATCACACAATATGTCGTCCCATGTGGCGATCGAACCAACAACACTTAGCGTAGTAGTAAATGGCATGGCGAGCACTTAAACCACTACGCAATCCTTGCAGTCAATCTTATACTACAAGTCCCAACTTTGAATTGAGTTAACCATGTCATGTTGGGTATCGTATGAAAGGGTTTCTGAAAGGGTGTATAGTTTTCGATTACAAATTTGTACAGAGCCCTCGGTGGGCAAGTCCGACCTGCACTTGTCCGTTTTTTTATGGCTAGTCACCTGCCTGACGCTAACTTCCTTTAAGCATGTTAGTATTTTTAGACGAGACCAAGGAAGAAGTTAAATTTGAGTAATGAGAACAGATAAGTGGAGAGAGAGGGTAAAGTGTAGTCTAAGTGGGAGCCTCGAATGAAGACGTAGGACTGAGACAACAGAGAACATAGGGGTCCTAGTGCACTCTCTTGAGTGCACTAGGACATCAACTAACCAAAGTTTAAACAACATGAATAATTAATGTTCCCATAAAAACTCACCAAGTTGGTATGTCGGTCAAGAAGATATTATAA